TTGCAGTGGCTTTTTTCTTTTTTTTTTTTTCATTTGTGAACTAGGTTTCCCAGACAATAGTTTCTGAAAAATTACTGGAAAACAAATTTTGTGTTTTCTTGTTCCTTTTTGTTTATTTCATTCATGGAAAGGCTTACTTCTACTACACAGCAGATTTAAAAAAAAAAAAAAAAAAAAAAAGAACAAACCACCAGAAAACCCCAAACCCCTCTGCAGAGCCTGGCCCACAGACACTGCGCCCCTTTCATCCTCCCAAACCTGCTGCCCTGGGAAGATGCTGCCCCAGACTCGTCCCCAGCTGGAAGGGACCACTCAGACACCCATGTCCCACCAGGTCCCTGCACTGAAACCAAGGTCCCAGAGCTGCCAGGGGGTCCCAGCAGGACCAGAGCTCAGCCCAAACCTTTTGCAGAGCACAAAGTGACTCCAGTTCTCAGCAAAACTCCAACAGGAGCACTGGGGAGGTTATCCCGAGGAGAGGATGGAAAACAGGAGTTTACAAAACTGCCCCACTGAAATCACAAACTCTGAGCCATGAAAAAATGTACAACGTTTCCAGAACGGGGAGAAAACACAACTCCCATCCTCTGCTTTCTGCTCTGCAATATTGCAGGGGTTTCTCCATCAGTCTCTGAAGAGTCAGCAGAGATCTAAGGATCACCTCTGCTTCACTGATAACTTCCAAAAATACAGATATATATCCATATTAAAAAAATGCAGCATGTGGGGTAATTAGTGCTCCGCTGGTTTCATACAGCGACTATTCCTCTGCCAAACCAGGAGGCTCTGATTGACAAGGTCAGTTAAATAAGCAAATTGTTCATTTACATCCCCACCAACACCTCCACAATCTGCACTGCAGCACCGAACTCCTGCCGGGGATTTAGGGTCCTGCTGTGGCCAGGAATGGGGCAGGGGGGGGTCTCACAGGGCTACACACAGATTTTATGGGATACCCTGGAAGGGCAGTGCCATGCCGTGCTGCAAACACCCATTTTTGGGGAGATGGGGGTGGATAAACGACTTGCCCAAGGTCACACGGAGCTGGAGGGGCCGCTCTGGCCCCACAAAGGATAGGGGAAAATCCCTGTTTTTCTCCTGGTGAAGAGGGTAGAGCAACCACCAGCACTTCAGCCAGCAGGGAGGAAAACTCCTTCCCCCAACTAGAACTTTCTGCTAATAATAGAGAGGCTGCGGGCGTTTCGCTTTGTTGCGGATGGAGAAGAGCCCAGGGACGGCTCCTGGAGGAATACACAAGCCTTTCCCTCCTCCTATAAATAATAGATTTTGAAGATCTACTTTGCATTACTTCCAGCAACTACTCTTGCTTGTCCTAATGCTTGGTTCTGCATTTTTAGCACACAGCAAAGAACGAAATCACAGCTTACGGTGGCTTTTTCCCCCCACCAAATCCTTGCTCAGAAGAGAAAGGATGTGTCAATCCAAATGGTGATCGATGGGACGCAGCAGCATTTAGTTAATGAAATGGAAACATCCCACCCGAGGAGGACGCCAAGACCTTCCAGGGTTGGGTTGTCCCCAGAGGGTCCCAGGACCTGCTCCCCCAGGTCCTCCTCGTCCCCCCACGGTGCTGGCAGCTCGAGGTTCCCCGGTTGCAAGAGGAGGTCAGGAGGAGCGAGGTGGCAGCTCCCGCCGGCGTGAACACGGCGCGTCCCGGGCAGAGCCAGGAATAGAAGCGAGGTCTTAATTTCTGGCCTTAAGGAAGAGCCACATGACTCTAATCACGCCGCTCCGTTACTTCTGTATGACGGAGCCCATGAATTTGATCATGCCTTAATAAAAAGGGATTGAACGTCTTCCCGTGAATCACTCAGCCTCTCCCCAAGCCGCCAGCGCCGTCGTCCCGCGCGCAGACACCGCTCGCTCTCAGCCAAGAGGTGCCAATTCACAGACCCATCGCCAGCACCCGAAATCTGCCGGATGCAGTGTCGGTGCCAAGCCCTGTCCCAGCAGGTCTCCTTCACCCTCCAGCAGCCCTGGACAAGCAGGAAAAGGCAGCTGGAGCCCCACGGCACGAGTCCATCCTGCCCCATGGGCACCAGGAGGGACACGGGGCTGCTGGGGAGGCAGGCAGGACTCAAAGCCACCCAAAGAACCCACATTGCCACCACCAACCGGGCATCTGCAAAGAGAGATTGGTACAGGGCTGCCCTAACGCCATAGTTTAACCATCTGGAAATAACACACCGGGGTAGAAAACAGAAAATTCAGTGTTTTAAAGACTCCCCGTGCAATAATCAAGGTTTTTACGGTGAGCTCAACATGTCACACTTGGCGGTGCCTGCAGAGATCGTCTCCACCAGCAAAGACACTGACACAGGCAACCTATTTCTCCAGCCTTCTCAGCTCTGCAATGCAGCTTTCTTAAATATTGAATAAGTCTGCTGCTCTACACCACCTGCCAGTGCCAATGATGAGGTAATTTTTGCATTGACAAAGCCTAATGCAATTAATCTGGTTTGAAAGAGCAGGTTTTAGAGCCCGTCCATTCACTCGGCGAAACAACTCTTGCAGACAGAGCACGGGCAGCAGCTTGTTATTCACAGCCGGTAGCCAGACCCCAAACAAACAACCCAAACTGCTGCTCGGGTGCCAAGTGAGAGATTATTTCTGCGTGTCATCACCAAACAGGAGGTTTTGAACTCGAGCGGATCCAAACATCACCCTCCGTCGGGCTGATGGGATTTTCACACCAGCTCCAAGGCCAGCCTGGGCACGGGAGCTGATTCATGCTCCCCAGCGGGACGGTGGAGCCAGGGAGGGAAAAATAGTGTACGAGCGTGTGGCAGCCTAATGGGGCTCCCCAGCTCCACACATACCCAGGGAGAAGGGGTGCATATTTTGGGATGACAAGGACCCAGTAGGACCCCCCCAAGCCGAGCGGTGAGAAGAGCAAATGCAGAAGCCGGGATGCATCAGCATGCCCAGGGATGGGAGTCCTGCCTCCCTGACTCTCAGGGGCAAACATGTCCCCAAACACCATTTTTAACTGGAATTCTCTCCCAGTTAGCAGTGACATTCACCACCATCTCTTGAGTCCATGAGGGCTGGATCCTGCCCTCCACTCCACACCCCAGCACTGTGGCCGATACCTGTCACCCCTGGGGACCCCAGGTCCCAACCAGAGATGTGGCACAGACACTGGGCACCCCATGTCCAGCCCTGCCCTGAGCATCTCACAACACCCAGGCTCCTCCTTTGCCAGGAAAAAGAGTCTGCCCGGGGCAGGAGCCACACACCCCCCACAGCATCCCCTATGGTGTGTGTGTGTGGCTATAGGGGCCACAGAGAGCATCCTGAGCCCACAGCAGGGTCCTCACTCCCCTCCAGGGTCAGGCAGAATTTGGTACTCTGGGATTTACATGCAGAGGGGAAGGAAAAAAAAAAAAAAAAAAAAAAAAAAAAAAGGGGAAAAACCCCCAAAAACGCCGGGGAGCCACTCCGGGGCAGTCTCAAAACACTTTCAAGATACGCAGTCAGACCTACTCATGTCTGCCTAGATGTCATTCAAGACCTACCAAAAAAAAAAAAAAGAAAAAAAGGTGTAAATAGCCCCAAAACAGCTGCTGAAGCAGCTGTGGAATGCTGCAAAATGATCAGCAGACCAGATGGAGGGCAGCTCAGCCCCGTGGGGTCCCGCACACCCAAACTCCCTCGAATCCCGACGTCCCCAGGCAGCCATCACCTTCATCTCATCCTGGATGCAAATCATTTCAGAAAGTTTGGGCAAAATTGGGCAAGCTGCTTTACGGATGGCGCTGCAGGAAGCAGCCCACGTTCAAGACTTTCCTTTAAAAAAAGAAAGGAGAGAGGCTGATCTCAGCTGGCAGAAATGCGTGGAAGCGGCAAACGGAAGCTGCTTGGCCTGCAGCCACCTGGCCAGGTCTGCCATCAGGGCACGGGACAGCAGGACAGTCACCCTCTGAGTCCAGATGAAGCACCAAGTGACCCACACGCTGCTGTGCTCCCGTGGGGACCCACGTACCCCAACCACCCAGCAACACTGCTCCGGTGTGAGGTGGGACCAGACCCCGGGGCTTGGAGCCCTCCGACCGCACTGCGGCAAAGCCAGGGGTCCTGGAATTCAGCTTTTGGGAAAGCCTCAGAACTGGGAAATCCTAAACACCAGGTCGTTTCCTCCTTTGTCCCTCTGCCAGACCCTTACAGGAAACTGAGGCCCCACAACATCCTGGGCAAGCTTGGCACCAATTGGTTAATCTAGGCTAAACATGGCCTCGATGATGATGGCCGCAGTCCACAATGACAGGTGACAATGATCCACGGATTAGAGGCATACGAGAAATGCAGAGCAACGACAGACCTGGTCCCATCCTCAGGTGCTCAGATCCCATGGGTGCCCTCATGATCCCCATCAGCAGCAGTTTGCCTGCAGCACCCATCCACCTAGTTCCATGGCACCCCGGGACCACCAAAACCCAGCACGCTGCTCGATGGCACGGGGCATTCACCCACGCACCACGCAGGAGCCCACGGGGCTGCTCCTGCTTCCACTGCCCTCCAGCTAAATCCACAGAGCAACAGGGCAAGGAGCTCTCACTGATGGCTTTGGTTTGGCCAATGCCTCTGCTACCTTTAAATTCACATAAGGTGCTAGAGATGCCTTTTTTTCCCCACCTTCTCCTTAATTCCCAGCTCCCTGCCATCCTCCAGACAAAGATCCATCCCAAGGCAGCCGTGCAGCAGCGCGCAGTCGATTTTATTTAGGCAGCACGTTGACATTTCCTCCAGCAGCTCCTTCCCAAACCAAACACCGTTATGATGCTGTCAGGAGGATTTACTCCCCTTGATTAATTGCAGGAAAGACAGCGGTGAAAAAAATAAATATTATAATAATTAAAAAAAATAATCACTTCTGGGTTTGTAGGACTTACCCGTGGCTGGTGGAGCTGGGGGGGTCTCTGGCCAGGAGATGCCCCAGTGCACCCCAAGCCTACACGGTGCTATGAAAGGCGGTGGCGGCGTTGCCATCGCTCCTCTCGCCGCGGCGGAGCGGCTCCGGAGGCTGCTTAGCAACAGATCGCTGCACCGCTCCGCACGCCGCCCTCCATGCGGGCACTGCCAGGGACAGGGCATGTGCCCCAAGCCACCAGGAGGAACCGGCCTCATCAGGGATGCTGGCAGGAGGACAGCACAGGGACCCCCATGCAAGCAGTTGAAGGAAGTTTAGCGATGGGGAAAAGGCTGGGAAGGACCAGCCAAACAAGTGATGCCAGTGGGGATCGGAGGCACCAGGTCCTGCTCGCTGCCAGGGACAGCTTCCCAAAGGCAGTGACAGTCCCTGGAAGATGCCCTGGTGGTGGCTGAGGACCACGGTGTCACGCTGCGCCGCAGGATCCGTGCCCCATCCCCAGACCATGTCCCCGGGCTAAGGATGCTCGAGGCTGCAAACCTGCCCTTCTCAGGGGGCAGCAGTCAGGGCCAGGGGAGCCTGGCACCCCATGACAGGGCTGTGCAGAGGGTGTCCCCCCAGCACCACAGCCCGACCCTCCCCAAGAGCCACAGGGAGCTCAGCCACCAGCAGAGACCAGCACTCAGCTGCCCAGATCAGTGTCTGCACCACCCTGGGGGATGCTGGGCTCCCGACTCCCCCAGTCACTAAATGCAGCTCCTTTCTCTCCCCACACACCTTCGTTAAGCAACTGGTTTCTAAACACAGCCAGACCTGCTGCCCATCACTGGGGCATCGGGCCCCAAATGGGAGAGCCCGTACCCACCTCCTGGGGCTGGAGGAGAGCAATGCCACCCAGCTCCACTGGCAGGGATGGAGCCAGGGCATCTTTCAGCACATGGAGGTATCACTGGGGCATCGGGCCCCAAAGGGGAGAGCCTGTACCCACCTCCTGGGGCTGGAGGAGAGCAATGCCACTCAGCCCCACTGGCAGGGATGGAGCCAGGGCATCTTTCAGCCCACAGAGGTTATAAACCATCAGGGTTGTTATAAACCATCACGGTCATTAGCCACTTCCCCAGTCTCCAGCTTTAAGGACGATGGGGGAATTAATCAGGCTGGTCCTGGGGACACTGCCTCGGGGAGCAGAGCTCTCCTCCCTGCCCAGACCTTGAGTGGGACCACCTGGAGCGATTCATTACCTATTATCACTAATTGGCAATGACTGCAGTGACATCATCACCTGTCTGCAGGCAGGAGGAGGACACTGGGCTGGGGCCACCACCGGCGCTGGCAAACAGGCAGAGGGTCTCCGCTGCCAGCGCAGCCCCCGGGACCTGCAGTGGGCACTGAGGACCATCTCATTTTGAGGTTTCCAAAGAAAGTCCCTCAAAACTTAAGCACAAAAAGAGACTCTGGAGCTGTGAGTCCCCTCACTTTTCCTCAGCAGTTTTTCTCCCCTTGCCCTTTCTGATACCAGGGAACATTTAAGACCAGGGCACACGTACCCAGACAGCCACAGAGGCACAGCAGAGTCCCGCAATGGGCTCCTGGGTTTCACCTTGGCTGCAAAGGGTGCTTCCACAAATAAAACATGCTTTTTCCACGTTCAGCACGTTTCTCAGCTCTCCTTGGGAAAGACTGCCAAGGAGGAGAGAGCAGAACAGCAGGCTGGAGGCAATGCCACGCAGGGGACAGTGTTTGCACCCAGGTGGGTTGCAAATAAGGGGGTTCATGGGTCTGATGGGGGGCGGGGGGGCTTGGGGAAGCCCATCCTGCAGACCACGCACAGGTGATGGCAACCAGCTCCCACTGCATCGCCTGGATCTGGCATATCTCTGCTAAAGGGGCTGCTGTGGATGAGCATCACCCACCCAACGCTGCTCTCCCAGGGAATGCCCAGCAAAGTGCCCACAGGATGCCACAGCGACCCCAATTTGGCATGTGGGGCTCAGACCCATGGCCCCACGTACCCCAGGCTTATCCCCACGGAAGGGCTGAACACAGATCTCCTGAGTCAGCCCCTACAGCAAAAGTGAGCAGCTCGCTAAATCCCTACCAGATGAAGGATGCATCATCAAATAAAGCCCCGTATCACAACATTAACAATATTTATTTTCAGGCTAAGCTGCAGCCTGGGCTTTTGATACCAGTAATTAAAGCAAATGGTTCATCTGTTATCATCTCTGCATCCCTGGAGCCAACTGTCCGTGTTTTGAAGCCCTGTATTTTTTTTTTTTTTTTTTTATTTTTTTTTTTTTTATTGCAGCCTCCCGGGAAGGGGAGGATCAGGCTGATCCATACACACTTTTTAGATCCCCGGAGCGGTGTCGCACGGACCAAGCCCAAAGCAGAGCCACGATCAGGGCAGCCACCCTGCTCGGAGCTTTTTAGCAGTGAAATGCAGAAGTGTTAATTGCTCAAAGACAAATTGCTGCTCCAGTTTATACCCGAGATTAGAATTAATAGAAAGACATCAGCAAGAAAGATAATGAGGTCCCTTCTCCGCAACAACCTGTCCCTGTGAACGGCAGCGTTAGCAGCCTCAGCCTATTTTCCGAGGTGGCTGGTTTTGCCTCCAGGAGGATTTTAATGCTGTTTGCAACACTTTTGGCTGTCCTGGGAAAGCAGTAGAGAAGGCACCTGGCTAAAGCCCTTGAGCCAGCCCCGAGACGGGCAGCGATGTCCTTCCAGAGCCCTAACGGGGAGCACAAAACCCAAAGCAACACCCTCTCAGCTCCGGGCACAGGATGGGCTCCGCATCCCACCGCTGCCAGATGCCAAGGGATGGGGCTCAGCTCCCGCTCTCGCCGTTTACACCCTGGGGACGGGGACAAGAGGCAATTTCAGGGGTTTAACCCACCCTCCCAAATGCCCAACACCCTCAAAAGTTGCCCGCACGCGACAAAGTCCAAAAGCAACGACCAGAGCATCCCCTCCACCTGCAATAACGCGCCGAAGGGGCGATGCCAGCTCCACGCACAGCCCGGGTACCAGCTCCGGCCGCCCCCACCGGCTTCCCCACGGGAGACGCGGCCGTGGGAAGGTCACCCACCCCCCGCACGGCTCCGGGACACCGCAACTTTCCCCCGGCCGGCTGCTCCCCCGCTACCAGGGGATTTGCTTTAGACCGAGCATCCCCGCATCCGCACCCCGATCCCCGCCCCTCCGGAGCGGGGACCCCCAGCGCCGCCTCCGGGGCTCCATCCCGGGGGAGAGGAACGGCGAGACCCCCCCACCCGCCCCGGGGTGCTGCTTTCCCCGCTCCCACGCCCGGTCCATTTCTGGCTCCAGCAGCACCTCCTCTCTGCCCGCCCTCGCCTTTATCCCACCCCATCCCTTCCTCTCCCCAGCCTCCCCCTCTCCCATTCTTCCTCCTCCCCAGCCATCTCTCATCCTCACCTCCCATCCCTTCTCCATCCCTCATCTCCCACCCCAGTCCCTCTCCATCCTTCTCCCCTCCTCATCTCCCCTCCATCCCTCTCCACTCCTCACCTCCCATCCCTTCTCCATCCATCTCACCTCCCATCCTTTCTCCATCCCTCTCCCCTCCTCATCTCCCACCCCATTCCCTCTCTATCCCTCTCTCCTCCTCATCTCCTACCCCATCCCTTCTCCATCCCTCTCCCCTCCTCATCTCCCACCCCATCCCTTCTCCACCCTTCTCCCCTCCTCACCTCCTTACCCTCTCTCCATCTCTCTTCCATCCCATCCCTCCCCATCCTTGCAGGACACAGCAGTTTTTTCATGCACACACATCACCTGGGAGACACCGGGCTTTGGGCATCTCCACCAGCCCTGCCTGCAGCCCCCCAGCAGCTCCCCACCTGCGTGTGGAGGCCCAAAGAGGAGCAGACATGTCCCCCATGCACCACCTGCAGCATCAGCCAAAAGCTGTGGGAGCTGCCTGCCTGGCTGAGCTCCCCATCCCTGGGGTTTCAGCCCTTGCACTCAGGTTTCAGCAGCACAGGGAACCCCACAGCCTGGTGGCCCTTGCCCAGATTAGTCCTAAAGACCAACCTGAGCCCCATGCACAAGCGGGGAACACGCTGCCTCTGACCAAGCTCTACAGTGACTTAAGCACTGCTCAGACCTTCAGGAGAGCACAGATCCTGCCCGTAGGGAACATCACTGCAGGGAACAAGGAAAGCAAGTGATGCAGAGCACAGAGGGAACCCTGTTCCCAAGCTGAGGCACCCATAGCTTCACAAACTGAAAGGGGCAGCAGCTTGAACCCACCCCCAGGCACCACCTCGCACCTCCCAGCTGGAGGGCTCTGACCTCCTTCCCCCTGCAGCAGGGACCATGCAGAAGGTGGGGGGCTCTGCTCGCAGCCGGTAGCAAACTGGAGCCAGGCTGGGATGGAGCCCAGCTCACCAACATGCTTTTGTGCCAAGTTCATCAGCCCCAGCAGCCCCGTTTTATCCGCTCCCAATATTCCAGCGGGGAACCCTAACACCCTCGGGCTTTCATGGCTTTCCACAAGATCTCCTGCCAGTTGTTCCTGCATCATCTCTTGCCAGGTGAAGCGAGGTGGACAGATCATCTGTCGGCAGGAGGGGATGGAAATAAGCCGGCCTGACACCTCGGCATGAGGAGCCGAGGAGGGAAATTTAATAAAAAAGTTGGAGAAAAGGATGCTGTGAGATGAAGCTGAGGGGGTGGGTTGTGGCTCTGGGCTGCCTCTGCGAGCAGGAGGAGACCCACAGGCTTTGAGCAACACTCAACCACAGCCAAGGATGTGATGGCCAAGCCAGGAAGGGGAAGGAAAGTCTCTCATTCCTATATTTATTTCACCATTTCTATAGAAAAGATTTTTAACCAGCTGCTAGTAAGCCTTTCATGAAAATCCTACTTTTCTTTTTCGATTTAAAAAGAAATCCCTGAAGTGACAGAAATCCTTGAAGGATTGAGCGAGTTTCTACCTTCAGCAAGGAAAGTATTCCACCACTCAAGGTTCAATCTTGATTGGCGTTCACCTAGATGCATGATGGACACCTTCTTCTCTTCCAGGCTCAACTATGTATTTTTACTTAGTAAAAGAATGCCTCGCTTATGCAAAGTAGTTGGAGAGACAAGCACAGTGATTTCAAGCTGATATGTCTTGACACCTTCCTTGGAG